CACTAAACAAAACTGTTCTCAAAAGGTTCAAATGATTCCCACAATGATGTTGTTGTTGTTGTTGTTAGCTGCCATCAAGTCAAGTATGACCCATAGTGACTCTACAAACAACAGATCTAAGCTCTATCCTATCCTGTGTTATTCTCACACTTCTTGAAACACTAGAGCCATTACAGCAATCCCTATGTCAATCCAAGAGTTGAGGGTCTTCTTCTCCTTCACCAATCCTCTGCCTCTCCTAGCATCATATCCCTCTCCAATGAACATCCCCTTCTAGCAATATGTCCAAAGTATGTACAGTGCTCTTCTCCAACACCACAGCTCAAAGACATCAATTCTTTACTCAGTGTCCAGCTATCAAATGCATAGTAAGTGATCTGAAAGACCATGGCTTGAATCAGATGCACTTTAGTCCTCAAACTGACTTCATTACTCCTCAATAACTTGGGAAGGTCCCTAACTGAAGACTTTCCCTTTGCAATACATTTCCTCATGTCCTGACTCCTGGTAACAAGGGTGCTGTGGTTGTGGATCCAAGTAATATGAAGTTTCAGTCCTTGCTCCATAATGTTGCTTATTGGTCCAATGGTAAGAGTTTTTGTTTTTTTGATGCTGAGATGCAATCCATATTAAAGGCTGTATTTTTTTGATCTTCTGCAAGAAATGTTTCAAGTCTTCCTCACTTTCAGCAAGGAAGGTTGTGTCATTTGTGTAACACAGATTATTGATGAATCTCTTCTAATCCTGATGCCACATTCCTCTTCAGAGTCCAGCTTCTCAAATAATTGTACAGCATATAGGTCGAACAGTTATATAGAGAGAATGCAACCTTGACGCACAACCTTCTAAACCATGTAGTGTTCCCTTGCTCTGTTTGCACAACAGGCTCTTGGTCTAAGTACAGGTTTTGAATACAATTCAATACTCTGGGATTACCATTTTTTTAATGTTAGCCAATGTTCAATTTTCAGTCTTCATCTGATTCATCAGTCTTTGACAATGTTAATCACACTTCTTCCTTCATATATTTTATTATCTTGCCTTCTAAGATACTCCACTGCTACTAACTGCTCTTTTGGTTTACTGATTTACTCTTTAAGAGGGAGTGAGTTTAATCCTATGTAGTCTTTGACTTTAAATACTATCTATGGCAAAGGCTAACAAGTAGTCTAGGCCTTTTCCACAGATTCAGGACTTTCAAATGTAAAAAGGTTAATAATGTGAAAAGCTCTATTCTAGATTCATACTGCATAATATGGTAAATTATATTAATTCGCTGTTTAAACTTGAAATTAAATAAAGTTAAAAATTCAGTCTTTAAGTCATACCAGCCACAGTTCAAATGTTCACATGTGACTAGTAGATGCCATACTGGACACAGTATAACTGATGGTGCAAATACAGAACATGTATACTACCATTGAAAATTTGACTGAGCAGTGCTATTTTAGACCTTGTTTAATGTTAAGGCCCTCATTTGAAAATTGTACTTAACCTGTGAGAGCTGTGAACTGGCAAATACCCCAAAGCTTACATGACTGTGATATATAGAAAAGAATTTGGAAACCAAGCCAAAGGCGGTGTGGTATCACCTTGTACAAGCTATGTTCTCAGTTCTTGGAAAAACAATTTCTACTTCTTAAATTACTGACTACCTCTGAAGGTTTGATACTGTTGTCCGTTAGGGCAACTCCCTTTCTAATAACTGGCACAGTAACTGACAAGAATGGTCTGCCAAAGTGCAGTGGACTGCCTTATTTAAGCCCTCGTACACACACTTCAGGAACTTCAGAGAACCCTTTGGGATTTGAAGCCATACACTGAAGGCATTCCCAGAACAGGTTCAGAGCCATGTAGATGAAGAGCTGTGTCAGTTAACAGCAGTGCCAGCTGACAGAGGTGAGGAGGAAGAGAGGTGCCTACAAAAGGTGTGGTGCCTACCCACTGTGAAAAGCAGCATCCACCAAAAAGCAACACCAGGCACTGGGGAGCCAGAAAGAAAGCAATCACTACCTGATGAAAGAGCGAGAAGCAGCAGCAATGCCTAGGAGAAGGCAAGAGCGCACTTATGCGCCAAGGGCTGTCTGGTCAAAAGTTGTCTCAAGGCAGACCTACGTCCAACACATCAGAGAACTATCCAGAGACCTTGTCCTGTGATGATGAATATGAGTTGTATCCTCTTACTTCTAGTTATATCCTTAACAAATCATTTACCCATCAGTATAGCCCATGACATCTGTGAAACATTACAATAACATACTGAATTCAACAAAAATAAAGATAGCTGAAAAAGAACAGCTGGTATCTGAAATAATACAAGAGTTGAAATGCAGAATTGTCCCAAATTATTCTTTCATTTCCCTATTCTAAAATAAATGTTGGCTTTATCTATTAGAACGAAGCACACTTTCCACCTATGATAGAGCGTAAAGGTGTTCTGGTGCCATTATTAAATGTCTCAAACAAGACAGCCTACGACTTCCCAAGTGAGGTGGACTGCACCCACTTCAAGCCTTGTCTCTTACAACGAGACATACCTCTGTAAGCATGTATACCTTTGGGATCTGTAATGAAGCAATGAAAATAATGATGTGGGTGCTATCTTTCCCATTCTGATAAAGCTAGTTAAACCTGGTGTCAATTCAATACCATAAACTGAATTGTCAATCCAAATTAGAGAGTGGCCATGCAGATTACTGCTGCTGCTTTGCACAGGGAAGTCATTGCTTTATTTCTGTTCTATCCCAATTATATCTTTCACAATTATAGCATAAGCCTTTCCACATAAAGATCTAGGAACAAAGTCTTATATGTATAAAAAGAGAGTGTGTGTGTGTGTGTGTGTGTGTGTGTAAAATATATCGATATATAGATATATATACCAATATATATGGTGCTGCAAGTACAACTCTTAGCGAACCTATAAATAGCCATTGTGAAACTTGCCCTATGCTGTGCCATCTCATCATCTCTGAAACACTAGAGCCCATTGCTTAAGTCACAGTGACAATCCATCTCACTGGAGGGTCTTCCCCCCCTTCGCTGACTCTCCACCTTTCCAAGCATGATAGCCCTTTCCAAGGAATAGCCTTGCCTAGCTACATATCCTCCTAAAGTAGGAATGATGAACCTTGGTCAACCTTGCCTCCAAGGAACACTCTGGTTGCACCTTTTCCAGGACATATATGTTTGGGGTTTTTTCAGCAAAAAAATGGGATACTCAGAACTCTTCTCCAGTACCACAACTCAAAGGTTTCAATTCTTCTGTCATCCTTATTCATCATCCAGTTCTCTGATGCATAGCCGGTGATGGATCAGGTGCACCTCCGTCTTCAAAATTACATCATTGCTCTTCAGTATTTTGAAGTTTCCCTCACTACAGACTTGCCCAATGCAATACATCTCCTGATTTCCTGACTGCTGGTACCAAGGGTATAGACTGATCCAAGCAAGGTTAAATCACTGGCAGATTCAGTCTTTTCTCCATCTATCATAACATTGACTGTTGGGCCTGTGGTGAGGATCTTTGTCTTCTTGATGCTGAGATGTAATCCATACTGAAGGCTGTAGTCTTTGATCTTCTGCCACAGTCTTTTCATATTCTACTCGCTTCCAGCAAGCAAAATTGTGTCATCAGCATCATGTAGTTTGTTGATAAGTGTTCCTCCAATCCTGATGACACATTCTTATTCATAGAACCAGCTTCATGAACGATTTGCTCAGCATACAAAGTGAATTGTTATTTAAGAAGGATACAATCCTGACACACATCCTTCCTGATTTTAAACCATGTTCCCTTGTTCTGTTCACACAATAGCTCTTGGTCTAGGTATATATTCAGCATGAGAACGATTAAGTGTTCTGGGATTCCCATTCCCAATGTGAGCCATTAGTTTGTTATGATCCACACAGTCAAATACCTTTGCATAATCAATAAAACACAAATGTACATCTTTCTGGTATTCTCTGATTTCAGCCAGGACTCATCTGACATCAGCAATGATATCCCTGGTGCTGTGGCCTCTTCTAAAACCAGCTTGTACTTCTAACAGTTCCCAGTCAATGTACTGTTCTAGCCACTTCTGAATGATCTTCAACAATATCCTTGCTTACATGAATAAAAAAGAAAAAGTTTTATCTCCTCTGGATAAGTCTCTCCTCCACAACCAAACTTGAATTCTGAGTAAAGATTACACTCAATGATCAATTTAGTCAAAGACATACAATAAAAATTTTATATAAAATAAAACTAGTAAAAAACAGCTGATGTTATAGAAAATATAAGGCGCATATCACCAGCCACTGTCTTGTTTTAATTATATTCATTTTCTAATATTACATGCTAACACATGATATTTACCATTTCTAATAGTATGTTATGGTAATTTCTATGAAAATTTGGGTACTGGAATGCTGTTTAAAAAGATACTATATTATTGTTGCTGTGTACTGTCGAGTCAGAACCAAATCATAACTGACTCTCCAGTGGGTTTTCAGAGGCAGTAAATGACACAGGAAAAGACTGTCCATTCTTCTCTCATGGAGTAGCTGGTGGATTCAAACTGTATACCTTCGCACCAATACCACAATTCCTTACCACTAGGCCATCTGAGCTCCCTCGCCAGACATTATTTCTAAGATTATTATTCTTTCTAATGGAACACTTTGCTTTATTACACTACTTCAGAAACATGACCTGCCATACAAAACAATAAAATCTGGAGAAGTAAGAAAAGAATACATCAACATCTATAGTAGACTAAGCCAGAACTTCTCTCCTCCTAGAAATGATAAACATTCTAATAAGTATTAACAGAAAAAAATAAATAAATAAATTATTCAATCAATGCTTTTTAGGGATTTTTAGAAAATATTAATTGTATGATACTCCACAGGCACAAAATTTAAACAATGGAAATTCTTAAAATACTTAAAGGATATGCATCTCCACAATCAAGTTACACATAAATGTAACGTATACCAAATAATAAAGCTCTTACCTTCTGATCAGGCAGGTTGAAAAGGAATTCTCTGTCAAAACGGCCAGGTCTCCTGAGCGCAGGATCTATAGAATCAAGTCTGTTGGTAGCACCAATAACAACAATTTCGCCCCTATTATCTAATCCGTCCATAAGGGCAAGGAGGGTTGACACTATAGAACTATAACAAAATTTTCAAAGAAAAAGAAAAAATTGTAAATTGTGCTTCTTAGAATAAATTTGGTTAAGTCTTATATGCTAACAAATGAATTATAGCATAATTATATATAATACAGTGTGAAGTATTTTAAAGGAATTGTTTACAAAGTATGCAAAGAATATACTAATAGGCCTATAAAGTATAGCATTCAAAACCAAAAAAAGGTTAAATTCTTCAAAATGAAAAGCTACTCAGGTCTTAAAAAAAAACACTATCAAGAAAACAAAAGTACAATCTATAAAGAAAATAGATCTAAGTAATATTTGCTAAGAGCACAGCACCAAGAGTATTTGAAGAACTCTTACAGATCAAGAACAACATAAACAAGGAGCTCAAATAAAAAAAAATAGACTCCAAACAGACATTTTTCCAAGGATATATGTATAAGCACTTTTTTTAAAACTTGAGGTCCTTTGTCTTCAGGTAAATGCAAATCAAACTACTTTTCACTCTCTAGGATAAATAAAATTTCAAAAGTCAAATAATTAACAAGTGTTGATAAGTATATGGAGAAAGTGGAATGCTCTTAAACAGATTCTGAGAACATAAAATGGTGTAACTTCTTTATAGAATAGTATGGTTAAACACACGTTTGTATGACCCAGAAATTCCACTCTATGGTAGTCAAGAGAAACTAAAACAAAATGCAAAGAAAAGCTAGTAGATGACTGTTCCTAGCACCTTTGCTGATAATACCCAAAAGCTGGAAACAACCCAAACTTCTATCAACTGACGGGAATAGAAAATTCGACACATTCGACATAATATACTATGCAGAAATAAAAAGGAATGAAGTTCTGATATGTGTCAACTAGACAGGCTGTGAAAACACTACAATAAAAGCAGACATAAAAGGTCATATATTTTAAGAGTCTATTTCTATGAAATGACTATAATTGGCAAAATAGGAAAGAATGGAAATAGAAAATAGAAAAGCAAGTGTCTGAGAATATGAGAGGACATAGGAATGATGACCAAAGTCTAAGAAGTTTCTTTCGCATGATGAAAATACTCTAAAAACAACTGTGGTAATGGCTGCAAAACTTTATGGAAAAGCAACTAAACTATACAGCTCAAAAGAGTAAAATTTATGTGGAGGACCTGCACCATCTGCAAAGCAGGCTCTTGCAATCACAGGGTTTTTGTTGTTTTCAGTTAGTAGTATAACACATAATAACTACACCATCAGAGCTTCCTGGTTTTGGCTGGCCTTTGTTGTGTCGAGGTTTTTTTAAATAACTGGCATTTTAAATGATGTACACAATACATATTTACTGTTATACTGGGGGGGGGGGTGTTTAAACTGTTGTTGTTGTTGATGTTAAGTGCCATTGAGTCGTAGGTGACTCATAGTGACCCTAGGAACGACCCTATGTGACTTTCATCCTTGCTCCAGGTTCATAGGGTTTCCAGAAGGAAGCTATTATGGAAGTGGATGCCACTCCTGCTTCCAAGTTTGTTTTAATCGGGGAGCTCCACCAAACACTGTCCGCCACTGGTAATCATCAACGCATTTGACACATCAGTGTCACAGTGCTCAGCTTCACAGCAACTACATTACCTCCGTACAGCAAGTGGACACATCAAGGCCCAAATGCTGGCAAACTCTGGGCCACAGACCCGCAGTTCATCTGGCAAGTCTGCTCTACCAACACCCACTTGGGGCAAAAAGAAAGCCACAAATGCCTGTACCTGCCTCTCCTAGCTACCATTTTAACTAAATTTAAAACAATCATTCTACAATTTTATTAGCTTTTTAAAAAAAGAAAAACCACCATGATTTAAATGCCCTTCACAATGGCCTCATGGTAGAGTTGCACTGCCATGCCAAAGGGAGGGAGTTTGAATCCATCAATTGATCCAAAAGATGAGCAATCTCATCCCATGTGACATACAACCTCTGCAAACCCTCTGGAAAGTCAGCTGAGTCAATTTCTACTCTACAGCACATAATAAAACAATATGATTCCACATTTCTGAATAAAAAGATTTCACATCTAACAACAATATAAACTATAATTCTAGTAACAATATTACTACTGATATTCTAGAACTAGCAGCAAGGAAATAAAAGACAAATTGCATTGGAAAAGACTGCTGTCAAAGACTCTCCAAAGTATTGAAGAGCAACAATGTCAGTCTGCAGACTAAGGTGCACCTGATCCAGGCCATAGTCTTTGCTTTGCATCAGAGAGCTGGACAATGATGAGCGATGACAGAAGGAGAATTGATGCCTTTGAGCAATGGTGCTGGAGAAGAGTACTGAGGGTACCATGGACTGCTAGAAGACCAAACAGGTTCATCCTAGAGAGGGTGAAACCAAGCTGTTCCGTGGAGGAAAAGAATCTGAAGCTTTATCTAGCATACTTTGGACATGTTGCAAGGAGGGACCAGTCCTTGGAGAAGGTCATCATGCTTGGAAGGGTGGAGGGACAGCACAAGAGAGGAAGATCCTTGATGAGATGGATTGATTCAGTGAATGGGGAAATGGGGATAGGTGTGTCAGAGACAGTAAGATTGGCACAGAATAGAGCCGAGTTTAGGGTTGTTGTACACATGGTCACTATGAGTTGCAGGCAACTCAATGACACATAACAACAACAACACACTGGAACTAACAGTCACTCACTCAGTCATTGTTGGTGAGTTAAAACTGATTCATAGCTGCCCCTCCATTGGGCTATAAATGAGCCTACAAGAAGAGATGGCCCATCTTTCACACCATTAGAAAGGTGTGGCCTTTGAACTATCCCACCAGAGCTCTCCAGCAACTATGTTACTACATTCAGTTCAAGTAACACCATTACCTATTGTTCTCCAACTATTTTTACTTGTACATATTTTTAGTGTTAACATCTGCATGAAATAGCTTCTCCAATATAGTCAGCAGGTCAAATGCATCACTCTTCATCTGAAATAGTTCGCTGTTTCCAAAAATCTATAAATGGAACCAAAATCTTGGATGCTCTGTATACATGTGTAAGAAGAACCTGACAGTCTTCAAAATTAATGTTCCTTCTTTTCTAATTTAAAAAGTATAAATTAGCTAAATTCTATGCTTAAAATTTAAGTAGAAATTAAGTAATCCTTAAGCATAATTTCATAATTCACTACACTTAACCATGAAATTTTCCCTAGTTATTTCCTGTTACTGAACATTTCAAATATTTGTCAAATTTATCATTATTTTATAGTGTTTTTCAATTTCAAATCATAAAGTCTCAAAAAGAAACATGGCCACAAACAAAACTTCTATCTACAATAAATTCTACCAAAAATTATCTTTAGGAGGGGAAAAAAATCTAAATGACCAATCTGAATACTCTGGGTCAAAATCTTTTAATAATCTGTCAAGGAGACAAAGATTCTCAACACTGGGCCAATTGGCAACACCATGATAGATTGAGAAGAGATTAAGGTTGTTCACAATTACAGCTTGCTCAGCTTCACAAGTAACACTCTTTAACACAAGCAGTAAGGAAATCGGAAGAAGAACTGTATTGGGGAAAATCTGCTACCTCTCCAGAGTGCTGAAAGGCAACAATGTCAGTCTAGAGACTAAGGTGCACCTAATCCAGGACATAGTCTCCATAATTACTTGCTATGCATAAGAGAACTGGACAATGACTACGAATGACAGAAGAGAATTGATGTCTTCAAACTGTGGTGCTGGAGAAGAGTCTTGAACATACCATGGACTGCCGAGAAAACAAATTGGTTTGTCTTAGAGAGGTTGAAACCAAATGGTTCCTTGGATGATAGGATTTTGAAGAAGACAGATGGGGACTGGGTGGAAACTAAGAAAAGAGGGTTTAAATAATAAACACTGCACTGAAACGGATAAGAGAAAGAACTGTTTAAAAGGAATATATGACTAAGTATTATTGGTATGACAACAGTCCAGAATAAGAAGTGCACAGCAAATTTGACTGGAGTGTAGAGGGAGGGAGGAAATTGTGCAACAACGAATGAACTGAAATACAAATTTTCTGTAAGCTTTCATTAAAGTATTAATAAAAAAAATTAAAGAAGACAGATCTATTGATCTGCTAAGAAAAACAACAACAAAAATTAAAAAGGAAAGTCCTTGTCTGTGCAGTATATATCTACTCTAAAATTCTTGAGCTTAGATTTGGAAAAGACTGTATTTTGGATAATTATGCCTGTTGTTGTTGTTGTTGTTGTTTACCATAGAGCAGGAACTGACCAGTAGCTAACCCTCCAGTGGGTTTTCAGAGGCAGTTAATCGCATGGGAGGAGACTGGCCACCCACCTCCTGCAGAGCAGCAGGCGGCCTTGAACTGTATGCCTTTGGGATTGCAGGTCAGCTTCTTGCCTCAGGCCACTAGAGCTCCCTAATTATGCCTGTTGTTGTTGTTGTTGTTGTTTACCATAGAGCAGGAACTGACCAGTAGCTAACCCTCCAGTGGGTTTTCAGAGGCAGTTAATCGCATGGGAGGAGACTGGCCACCCACCTCCTGCAGAGCAGCAGGCGGCCTTGAACTGTATGCCTTTGGGATTGCAGGTCAGCTTCTTGCCTCAGGCCACTAGAGCTCCCTAATTATGCCTGTTGTTGTTGTCATGTCCCGTCGCTTGCAACACCCGTAAACTCAGCTCTGTCCTGTGCCAATCGCACTGTCTCTGATACACCCATCGCAATTACCTTAGTCACTAAATCAGTCCACCTCATAGAGGGCCTTCCCCTCCTGCGCTGTCCCTCCACCCTACCAAGCATGATGACCCTCTCCAAGGACTGGTCCCTCCTTGCAACATGTCCAAAGTATGTTAGATGAAGCCTCAGAATCCTTGCCTCCAAGGAGCCGCCCCGTTTAACCCTTTCCAGGATGAAACTGTTTGTTTTCCTAGCATTCCCTGGTACCCTCAATACTTTTCTCCAGCACCACAGCTCAAAGGCATCAATTATCCTTCTATACTCCTTACTCACTGTCCAACTCTCTAAT